TTCCTGCTGTGATAGGTTCGGATGGCAATTTGGACTCTGGTTCAGCTACTGAACATGGTGTAGCTGATAAGGTTGCAGTCAATGTTCCAGTAGTTGAGTCTGTTGTTCAGTCAGTTGAAGGTCAGCCGATTGACCAGGGACCTGCTGGGGGTGTTTCCAATATTGGTCTTGCAGCAAAACCAAAATATTGGTCTCTTGCTGATTCTGACTTGGAATCAGATGAAGATGGTCTGGATCCTTTTCTGAATCAAAATCAGCATTTGTAAGTGAAGGATTGCCAACCTGTTTGGGTTGTGGAGCATACAAACTCTGCTGCTTCAAGTTCTCTGGATGGGATGCTCCTCTTGAGGACATTTCAGAACATGATATAGTTTCCTCTCAGATTCATGGACATGATGCAGTTTCTGTTCCAGTTACATCTGCTGAGCATCCGTATAAGCAACCTGTTATTTCAGCTGATTTAATCACTTTTGCTCCTTCAGTCCAGCAGGATTTTAACATCCTTGCAGCCAGCGGTTTTGTTTTGACTGAGGTTGAGCAGGCATCACCTTCCCAGCATGTTGAATCCAAGAATTAGAAGAAACTGAAATCAGCTGCTAAATTACCTAGAACCAGGTCAAGGGCTGCAAAGGCATCTAAAGTTTTTTGATGCTTACACAATGCAGTTGCTGCTTTGTCCATTTCTTGTTTTGGCTTGAGCTTGGTGGAGAAATTGATTCGGTTGTTTTGCAGCAATGGCTTTGGTTTTTCTTGTTGCTGTGCGCTGTTGGTTCTGCATTGGTGTTAAATGATGCAGCAGTTTCTAGTCTTGCCTAAATCTGATCAGCATAGGCATTCTGTTTTTGCATCATTTTCTGACTCATCATCTAATCTTGATTTAGCTGCTTCTATTCTAGGAGTAGGCTCCTACTGCAGTTCCTGTTCAGTGGGGGTGCTGCTGTCTGCATTTTCTGGTTGAGATCAGTCTTGCTGCTTGCTGGCTGACCTGTTGGCTTGAGTTGGCTCTGGATATGGTTGTTGAAATTGGCTACTGTTTTGGCTCCTAGTTGGTGACATTTGTTTTTGTTCCTGATCAGGCTGGCTGGCTGCTGCGTTGATCTTAGTCCCTGGCTGCTGAGTGGAGACCTGGATTTGGCTTCCCTTAGTTTTTGTTTCTTGTTCTTGGTTTGGCTGATAGACCTATTTTGTACACTGAGTTCCTTCCTTGTATCTTTACATTTCTTTTACTTTCCGTTGTCTGTTTCTAGTGAGTTTGGTTTTGGTCCTCTCACAATTTAATAAAAAAGAGGAGACGCAGAAAGGGAAACTGCAGGAATGGTGGAGTGTTAGAAAAGCCCAATGACAAAGATGAAATGAGGAAGGTGTTGGAAGCACGAAAGGGAAAGGGAGGGTTA